CTGAAAATTAAGGGATGAGATGTAAAGTTTTTGCATTCATGAATTAGATTCTATATTACTTTAAGCATGAAGAAAATTTTATGATTTGTGAGGGCAGCCAGTTCAAGCAAATAGAGCTGAAGTTATTTCTGTACCACATCCCCCCCAGAGGTTTACGCCACTTTGTGAATTGGCCAGAAGTAATATCATTTTATATCTATAAAGTATGATCATAAATAAAAACCAGTGACAACATGATTTTGGGAAACTATCATAATGATAATGACATAATTAGATAACTGTTCAAGGTGTTTACATCAAGAAAACATGATCACAGATGAGAGACAAAAATGTTGGAAGAAAGACCCTCAAAGTTACAACATGCAAAAATCAAGACATAATATGTTTTAGTTTGATTGAAATAACTAATAATTTCAGAAACAAGAAAGAGGAAGATGATGCACACAGCTAAGCCCCATGGCAAAGTTACAGTGCTGCAGGTGTACAGTAGCCTGTAGCCAGTGACAAACATCCACAGCAACCTCTCAGCCAAGGTTGCCTCCAACCCAAATGACAATTTGTAGATGCAAAGTATTGAGTTACATGTAACTCAATCACAGCTCACATACATACCAACAAGCACAAGGAGATATTGTAAAACATTGTATATTGTAATCTGTTAAGGTCCTGCAATCTTTGTTTGTGTAACTGTATGTCATCTTGAAAAGTTTAGTAGTGTTGGGGTGTGTTTCAGTTCATGAAAATGATATTTGTCTGTATGTGTGCATCCATATCTTCTTGTTTCTGTTCAGGCATCCCAAGTGCATGCTGAAACTAATTCAATATATAGCCTAGCATAGAAAGTAGATAATAAATCAAGTTCCACAACAAAGTAGTCAACGAGAACTTACATTAAGACACAAGGAATCTGTACTTCTGGAAAACCCCAAACTTTGTTCCTTGCATCATTACATCCTGCTAGTGCACTCTGCAGCACCACAATAGCAGCTCTTCATCTTAATATTTGCATTCAAATCTCGAACCTGATCGACAAAGTAATTATAGTGGTAAGTCAACTCCTTCAAGGGAAGAATGTTTTCCGCAGCAAAGAGCATTATGTGGGGTTTACTCTTGTCCTCGTGATCATAGAGGACATTCTGAGCATAAAGGTTAGGGGAACAACTATGGTTGATGAACCTCCCCACATTCCCACACTGTGCTGCATCGATTGTGAAACGCTCATCCTCCACAACTTCACTAGAACTTAACTGTACAACAGGCTTGAGAGTCAAAAGTCCACCAATGAGAGAACAATCACTGAAATTGTGTCCAATATCAAACAAGTATTCATCATTTTGTCTTTTTTCAGCTTCCTTGTCTTCAAGAAGCTCCTGAATATACTCGCATATAAAACTTCCTGAAGGAATAGAAGTTAGGGATCTAACACCCCAGCTCCTTGACTTCCTTTTAAAGATTTCAAGCTATATTTTCATGCCATGCTGACTGACTTTATTTTAGCAAGAAGGAGGGCATTTGAAAGAAGGACCACACTCATATACCAGAGGCTTTCAACGATAGCCCCATTGCAGTTGTATGGAATCTTTCCTCCATTATTAAACATACATCAGCATTTTTTAGAGTCCAAGCATCCACCGATACAATCACAACCCTTGGGAGCAGTAGGGCAGTACCAATCAGGATATTCATCTCAGTTTTATAATTGAATTTGGGTGGTCTCTTATTGTCTATGGTGTTCACAGCACAAATGGGAAGTAACTCTTTCCCTCCTGATGTCATCAACACAACGACCCACATTCAATTACTCTTTGTGGGGTTGTATTTTCGGGCATCTCTATCATTACTGGACAGGGAAAGGATTTGGGGCTCTCACAAACGAGGACTCTCGTGATCCCCACTAATATATTGACTATTAATGTATTTGAATTTTTATTTCTTCTATCTTTGATAGTAGTATGAATGGTCTAGATCATTTTAAATGTTGTGTTTTGTGGGGATCTCTACCATTATTGTTGGACAAGGAAAATATTTGGAACCCCCACAAAGGAGGACCCCCATGACCCCTACTGATGTATTGATCATTGATGTGTTTAATTTTTTTTTTCTTCTATCTATGACAGTGACATGAATGGTCTACATCATTTTGGGGTTGTAGGGGTTGTATTTTGTAAGATCTCTATCATTACTATTGGATAAGGAAAATGTTTGGAACCTCCACAAAGGAGGATCCCCCATGACCCCCGCTGATGTACTGACCATTAATGTGTTTGAATTTTTTTTCTTCTATCTCTGACAATGACATGAATGGTCAAGATTATTTTGGGGGTTGTGTTTTGTAGGGATTTCTTTCATTACTGTTGGACAAGGAAAATGTTTGGGACCCCCACAAAGGAGGACTCCTGTGACCCTACTGATGTATTGACCATTGATGTGTTTGAATTTTTTTTTTTTCTATCTTTGACAATGACATGAATGGTTCAGATCATTTTGAAGGTTATGTTTTGTGGGAATCTAAGATGAGTGAAATTATATTTTTTTTATAGAAAAATGATTTATTCACATAATTTTTTTTTCTCTTTACAATCCCCTAATAATGTTATAAGTAAAATTTAAAAAGTGAACTTACATTCAAAAAGAAAAATGTTTTGGAGCTCCAATTGAACACTCCTAATCCATTTTCCAATGATATGAAATAAGCCATGTGAATGGAGTCTCACACATTTCATCTCTCTTATCTCTCTATCTCTCTTCTACCTTATTAGAAGTCAAAATGAAAGTGTGATGTATTGAAAATGTAGCCCTACTCTATTTAAATATTTTTTCAAAATTCTTATATATTTTGTCTTACCACCTTATCAAGAAGATTGTAAAAAAAATAAATTGTGTGAATATAATACTGCCATTTTTTATATGATGATTTGGATATGTAAAATTAAATTATTTTATGTAGTTAGTTTTAGGTAAATTACAAATACACCCTTTGAGGTTTGCTTAAAGTACAGTTGCCCCTTGTGGTTTGGAAAATTACAAATACCTCATTGTTAGTATTTTTTATAAAACATAATTAACTAAAAAAATGAAATTCATAATTGTTTTCCAATATAATAATAAAATTACCTAAATTATTAATTGAAACATGTTTCTAACATCATTAAAAACTGTTAATTAACTTGATAATTTATTATTAAAAAGGGCAACTTGTTATGAAGTTAAAAACTTTCGGGGTAGAATGTAATTTTTAAAATTACAGGGAGCAATTCATATTTTTATCAAATTTTGGGAGATGTATTTGTTATGGTCTTTGTGTGAGTCTATGAACTTGTTGGAGTGGAGTCATAGGGGCTCGGACCAACTTTAACAAACCCATTCCAAAGCCCGTTCTAATCCAAAGTCGCAGAGAATCCATTTTCTTCCGCTCACACCATCACACACACTCTCTCTCTCTTTCTCTCTCTCTCTCTCTCTCTCTCTCTCTACAGAGAGCAGCAATGGAGGTCGCCACCATGGCCTCGCACTTCTTCCTCACTACTGCGACTCGCATGCTATCTTCATCCACTGAGAGGGAGATTTTATAATCTGGCTTTGGGCAGTGGTAATGGTCGGGCAAATTGGGCCAGGCAAGTTTGGGCCGAGCTGGGTTGGGCTAATCCGGTGGTAGTGCGCACGGTCAAGGCCCAAGTCCGATTTGGCCGGGGTAATTTCAGACTGCGGGCCCGGTTCATTTTATTTGCTCACTGAGTTAGGTGGGTCAAATCCTCCACAGACCAATCCAACTAAACAGGTGCTTGGTCATAGCGGCGGGCGGCTAAGCCACAGTGGAAGTAATGCATGTCATAACGGAGGGCGGCCGAGCTCGGTCATAACAGAGCTCGGTTCAGAGCATTGCATGTCTCAGAAGTAGTGCGGTCGTAAGAAGAGGAGGTGGCGTCGGGCTGTCCATTCGCACCAACGTCGTTTAGCGATTTGGTTAGGTGGTGTTTAGTTGTATTTGCACTGACACATGAGAAAGTGAGATAGGAGAGCAGGTCCACGCATCAAAAGGAAAATGAACGCAAAGGCATGCGCAGAAGGTATATAAGCGTGATTGTGCCTCCATACTGATGCATGAAACATCTTCTAGTGAGAGAAAAACAAACACATTGTCTCCACTCTCTTCTCTCTCTTTCTCTTAGTGTGTGCTGACTTGACCGTCCAAGGGGTTTTCCAGTAACACACCGCCGGGTAGCTCACATTCGTTGTGTTCTCAGGTCGATCGGAGGAAGGCGCAGCTTGGACACAAGGAGTACGGACAACATCGAATATTTTCTCCCCGTACAATTGGCGCCGTCTGTGGGAATTCGACAAACAAAACCTTGAGTGACATGAATGGTCTACATCATTTTGGGGTTGTAGGGGTTGTATTTTGTAAGATCTCTATCATTACTATTGGATAAGGAAAATGTTTGGAACCTCCACAAAGGAGGATCCCCCATGACCCCCGCTGATGTACTGACCATTAATGTGTTTGAATTTTTTTTCTTCTATCTCTGACAATGACATGAATGGTCAAGATTATTTTGGGGGTTGTGTTTTGTAGGGATTTCTTTCATTACTGTTGGACAAGGAAAATGTTTGGGACCCCCACAAAGGAGGACTCCTGTGACCCTACTGATGTATTGACCATTGATGTGTTTGAATTTGAGCTAGTGCTCTTTACCATTTTCAATAGAGAAGTGTATTTGTGTGCTATGAATGACATATTTTCCCTTTTCCTTATGGTTGGATAGACACAAAAAGGGCAAAATGATATTGCAGCACTTGAGCAAACAGTAATGTACATGAATATGCATGCGTCTGTGTGTGTATGCACAGAACTCACTGAATCTTGATCTTAGAACAATATTTACAGTGATTGTAACAATCTCAGAAGAAAAAGAAAGACTGCATGTTTGGACACACAAAGCTTCACTTAATTTTTTAAAAGAATAGTATTGTAACCCCTAATTGGACTGCCTAGTGGAAGAAATAGTTGCCAATTCTCTTACCCTGCCCTCATGATATCAACTATAAATATGGGATTTCATTTGTGAATTTCCCATCTGAAAATCTTCTCCTCCTTCATTATCTTCAGAAACTAACCTCTCTTAGATTGTCTAAAGAAATGGGTTTTGCACCTAAAAGCTATTGCTCTCTTCTTTATGTCCTGGTGCTTTTGCCAGCACTTTGTTACTCCCAGGACACTTTTGTGTCCTCTAGAGCAACCTATTATGGCAGCCCTGATTGCTTGGGGACTCCAAGTATGTACACACCCAAGCCTCTCTCTCTCTTTCTATATGTGTGTGTGGTTTACATGTATTGATGATTTGTGTACATTTCTACATTAATAATCTAACTACAATGATTAACACTGATTTAATGTGATTAAAAATTAGCTGGAGCTTGCGGGTTTGGTGACTATGGAAGAACCGTCAACGATGGTTCTGTGAGTGGAGTCTCTAGACTGTACAGGAATGGAACTGGTTGTGGTGCATGCTACCAAGTAATTCAACTTCAAAGCTACTTAAAAAGTCATTGACCCTTTTTGAGGATATTGGAAGAATCTGAATAATGATATTTGAAATAGAATGAATAAATATTGGTATTCAGTCTTGGACTATGATAAAAAGCAACCATCTTTTTTTTGAACAGTAAAAAGCAACAATTAGAAGCTCTACTTTTTGAGCTTGCAAGAAATTGGCATCCAGGACAAGCCCTTCTTTTTGAATCATTGAAGTAGTGCAAAATAATGAAAATGTAAACACTGATAAAAAAAGTGGCTCCTTTGCTTGAGCCGATAATGATGGTTATTTCCTATTTGTTTTTACTAATATGATAGGTTAGGTGCAAGATACCACAACTTTGCACCGAGGATGGAGCGAGGGTGGTGGTGACAGACTACGGTGAAGGGGACAAGACAGACTTCATTCTAAGCACCCGTGCCTACGCAAGGCTGGCTCGTCCTGACGTAGCCTCGGAGTTGTTTGCTTATGGTGTGGTTGACATAGAATACCGGAGAATTTCTTGCCAGTACCCAGGTTACAATCTCATGGTCAAGGTCCATGAGAACAGCAGGTTTCCTGATTACCTAGCCATTATCATCTTGTACCAAGCTGGCCAAAATGACATCACTGCGGTTGAAGTGTGGCAGGTACAGTCCACTGAACTATTTGAGTGAACTGGGTATTATCAAGTAAAAAAGGGCGGGTTGGGCCACCAGTAAAGACTTACCGTTAGCATTCTGATGGTGGGCCAAGGGCCTATGCATATCATTTTTAATAATATATATTTCCTTCTTTGGTGCAGGTGGATTGTCAGCAATGGAGGGGCTTGAGAAATGCCTATGGTGCAGTGTGGGACATGTCTAGCCCACCAACAGGTGCACTTAACTTCAGAGTCCAAGTGAGTTGCAGGTCAGGGCTGAAGTGGGTGCAGCTGAGTAAAAAACCGAGATAATAAAGGGCTTTGTCCTCAACCGGCGCTAACATCTGTCTGCTTGGGCGACCGGGCTCCTTAGTTAGAAAGATACCGAGGGTGGTTTTGGCATTCTTAATTGGACCGAGCTAAAGTCCAGCTCCTCTTGCGCGGACCGCCGCTCAGCTTACACCTTGCCATCTTTTCCGCAGAGTCCAAGGGGACAGCTGTCATTCCTGAGGCTCTCAGACCGAAGCAGCAACCAAATTACAGTGCCAAACCCCTCAGCGTGATACTAAGTCCGGCCACAAAGGAAATTCCGCTTCCTAGTGATACTCGGCCGCGCTAGCCTTTCAGAAGAGAGTACGGCATCCCGGCCGACGCTCCATCTCGAGCTGGCAAAGAGAATACAACACTTTGGGGCAGACTAGACCAATGCCCTTTACCGTGCTCTCAATTGTCGAGAGGGCCTTCATTTCCCGCTCAACCCACTTTATAACCGAGTTCTTTCCGCCGCCACCGGGCTGGCACCCACACAAGTGTCCACCAATACTTATAGAATAATTCAACGGCGTTTCACGAATTTGAACAATCGGCTTTAGGCATAACTTAGTTTCTAGCCGAGATATTGAGGCAATACACATAATGGGCCACACCGGACGGCCTAGGGCTATTACTTGAAATAAAGGCCGGGCAAGGAAAAATTGTAACGGCGCCCGGATAAAGATCTTCACGACGACGATTTTTCTGGGTGTGGGCAATTACGAAAACAGCCGAGTGCGGGCTGGTTTATAAACAAGGACTTCGGTTCTTCATGTAAGCCACCAAACTTGCTGCGGTCAGGCTAAACTCTTTTTACTCTGGAACTAACCGGTTTCCTGTTTCTTTTTGCAGCAATCCAAAACCTTGGCAAGGCCAACTATCCAATTTCCCAACGTTGAGCAATTCGGACCGTTGCTTCGGTATTCACACGAGATTATGCAAACGATTTACTCGGCTTACACCCCGACCTACAGGTATTCTGCTCCGCGCCAGAGTAGAGTAACTGACTTCCTCCGAGCTCCTTCGCCACTCTAGATCTACCCTTCCAGACGTCCCCTTGATCCGTTTGACAGAAAGAACAGGAAATGGGCTAAGAGAAGCCGCATAAAAACCTTCTCCACCGCAACCTCGAACCGAAGAGATACCGAGTGTTGTCCACCCATTCCCGGCTTGGGTGGTCAATCAAGTGCAGCCGTGGTAGCCCTTGCTTCTCCAGCCGCGGGCAGTCTGGCAGAGAAGCCGCGCCGGGCTGGGGAAAAAGGCCACGGGGGCAAATTCCCTCTGCCGAGCTCGTCGCCGAGCTGACAAACCGAACATCTATCTGAAAACTCCTGTTCCCGTGCACAGCTTGGCGTCCACAGCTGGAAGCACCGGGACAAGACATCCCGGCCGACGGCTTCGATCAAGCCGACAAAGAACCATTGCTTCACCTTCGATCTCTCCAAAGCATTTCTTCTACGGTGCGACGTTCTGCACGACCACGTCTCTGGCACTCGGCTGGTATAAAATCCTCAGTGAAGTCCATGGCCCAGGTAAGTCGATGTTCCTCTTGAAAATTTCACAAGTGTTTGCCGGTTCCTTTTTGCTAAATCAACTTTGCTTTTTGCAGGCCATTCAAAAACAACACCTGGTTTTGGGAGCGCATCCACAGGATTAGCAAAGGCCAACGACACAGCCAGGCCAGAGTCGGAGAGCCTTCAAGCCGAGCTCGGCCGGGGCTAAAGTCTTCCCTTGAGATTGGCCCCAACTCTGATTAATAACAGACTGCTCGGCCAGCTGGATAGCGGCCGAGAAAAAACGGGATGAGCTCTAGACCCGAGGTGGACCTCTGGAAAAAGTCGAAGAAGAAAGCTTGTTCGGGCTGCAACAATCGGTTTTAACGAGGCCGAGCAGAGTACAAAAAGCAAGTCTTTGAAACACAAGGACACTACTTCAAGGCCGGCTGGAAGTCCGCCTGCGAAAACACCTCGCCAGGGCTCTGAACACCGACATATTTGCCAACCCTCCTCCAGCTTCGCTGTACCGGTCTACCTCGTGCCTTATGCAAACGACGTTTTCAGCATCTTTTGCAAGCTGACGGCGAGAAAGGACTTGAAGATGGAGACGGTGAGACAGATTCTGAGGCAGAGGAGGGCCGAGTGCAGAGCAGGCCCGGCAATGCTGAGCCCGGTGCCCAAGACGCAAGTCCAACATCAACCTTGATGCTTAGCAGAGGACGAGTTCACCAATCTCTCCCTCTAGTTTAGTTTTCTTTTTTCTTTTTTGTTATTTTTGCTTTCAACACTTCTGCAATTAACCAGGCTCTGTACCCCAAACCTTTGTATTGATTTCTTGTCAATGAAAAATTCAAATTTGCCAAGTGTTGCACTGGTAGTCATCAATTCCATCTTCAGCAAAAATCTCCCGGGTATAAATATTGTTTGAACAGAACCACCTCGTCAACCGAATTCATACTCGGTTGGAAGTTACTTAGCAGAATAAAACAAATGTTATTAAAAACGAAATAAACCAGCTTCGGTTGGTTAATAACAAAGGTTTTGAACAATCATCAACACTTCCAACCGATTAGATCATTCTCGGTTGGGAATCCAAAGTTGGCCGAAACACCCAACTCTTCCAGCCAGAGTTACATCATCTCGGTTTAGGAGGAATCTGAAGTTGGACAAAACATCAACTCTTCCAAACCAGAGTACATCATCTCGGTGGGGAATCCGAAGTTGGACCAAAAACACCAACTATTTCCAACGGAGTACTCATCTCGGTTGGGAACCGGAAGTTGGACCAAGACACCAACATCTTCCAACTGGAGTACATCATTCTCGGTTGGGAATGTGAAGTTGGACAAAAACCACCAAACTCTTCCAACCGGAGTACATTCATCTCGGTTGGAATCCGAAGTTTGGGACAGACCACCAACTCTCCAAACCGGAGTACATCATCTCGGTCCTTAACATTAAAACAACAGTCCCAAGTGCTAAAGCAAAAATTAACTTCTTATAAATTGACAAAAAAGAATTACATGCTAGTGGTGCAAGCCAAAAAATCTTTGCACCAAGAAAAGAAAGCAAAAGCTTAAAAATAATACAGTTTTCAAGTGGCCCGCATCCATGGCCGGGGTATTGCTCTTCCCTCTTAAAATCCTCCAATGGTAAGCCCCCTGCCCGCCAGACCGTGATCTTGTAGGGTCCTTCCCAATTTGCCCCTATTGCCTTCTCCTTGCACCAGTGGTGGTTGCCCATAATCTTCCTCAAAAACCCAATCACTACTTTGGAACGGTCTGGGCGTGCACCGTCTTGTTATACTTCTTTGAGAGCTCTTTGTTGGTAGGGCGACCACATGGAATGAGGCCTTCTTCCCGACGCTCTTCCACTAGGTCCCAGCTCCAAGGGCAATTAGCCTCAGCGTTCAGCTCGGGCTCAAAAACTTTCTCGCTTCTAAGGGTGGGGCATTCCAACTTCCAAAGGGTATGACCGCCTCCATTGCCGTAAGCCAAGCAAATGGAGTTTCCCGGTAAATCGCCGCGGGGTTTGTTCGGTATGCCAAAGGACGCTGGGGGCAATCCTCAGCCCATTTCCCTTTGCCTTCTACCAGCCGTTTTCCTTCAAACCCATCCAGCTATAGTTCTTGTTCGATTGCCTCGGCTTCACATTGGACTGCGGTAAGCCGGGGTGGAGTTGTAGAATTCTATCTCAAATCTTTACAAAATTCCTCTGAATAGGCGACCGTCAAACTGGGTTGCCGTGATGTGTCAGAGATCAAAATCTTGGGGACGCCAAACCGTGTGACCACGTTCTGCTAGACAGCCGCTTCACATCTTTCTATTGGATGGTTGCCAAGGCTCAACTTCAACCCATTTCGTGGAAGGTAATCTGTGCCGCAATAAAGAATTTTCCGGTTGCCCGGGGCTGTTGGCAGTGGCCCCACTATATCTAGCCCCCACCATGGCGAAGGCAAGGACTGGTAAGGGAAGAAGTTCCCTAGCAGGCTGATGGATCTGATGGGCGAATTTCTGGCATTTTTCGCACTGCGGACGGTACTTTATGCGTCGGCCTGCATTGCACGGCCACCAGTATCCCTGCGCGGAAATAGCCTCGGTAGGCCAAGGACCTACCCCCTATGTTGGCGCCACAAAGCCTTCGTGAATTTCGGTTACAAGAAGGCCTCCACACTATTCGGGTGCACCGCACTTTAGATAAGGGACCAGTGAAGGACTTCTTATACAACGCGCCAGATTGGAGAGAGCCAAAACCGCGCTGACTTCACCCGAATTTTGTGTGCTTATCTTCTTGTCAGTTGGAAGAGTTCGGTCTCCTAGGAACAAGATCAAGGGGTCCATACCAGGAAGGACCTAGCGCGGCAGAGTTACATCCGTCTGGCCGGCGTCTTCAATTGCTTGGCCGCGAGAAAAGTTAATTAACAGGGGTTTGGAGACGCCGATCTACCATGGAAGCGAGGTCGGCCAGTTTCATTCAGCTCGGCTGTTTTCTTTTTCGGCCAAATCTATGCGACTCTATGGCATCAAACTGCTTGATATGCTCCCTGACCAAGAGCTTGTACTTCGCCATCCTGTCACCCTTTGCTTCGTAAAATCCCAGAGACTTTGGTTAACCACAAGCTGGGAATCACTGTATACCAGGAGCTCGGCGGCCTCTTTGGATTTGCGCTCTTGAGCCGGCGACAATGCCTCGTACTCAGCCTCGTTGTTAGAACGCTGGGAAAAGCCCAAGCGTGATAGAATGGTTCAATTGTTTTAGCCGTCCGGGGAGATAAGAACGAATAACCTAGGCCGCACCATGAGGCTTGGAGCTCCATCAACAAAAAAGTTCCACATTTCCACCCACAAAAAGCTTTTCTAGCAAGTTCGGTGATGAGTCGCTGAGAGTTGTGAAGGGCAACGTTGATCACAATTTGCTTGGCTGGGCGATTTCAAGTTTTGTGTGACAGGTTCCAATTCAGTGCCCGCTTGGTGATTCGGCACCGGACTCAGCAAGTTTTCTGTAATGCTCAAGTTCGTAGCGCGAATCATCAGGTTGCGTGTTGAAGGCGGCCGCAGGTTCTGAGTGTGTGATCCAATTCCTACCCCTTGGATGATCAGGCCACCGGACTCAGCGAGTTGATCTGTAATGCTCAAGGTCCGTAGGTGAATCATCAAGTTCTGAGTGGTTGTGGTTATTTCTTCACCCCCTTTGGTGATGGGGACCGGACAGAGTGGATGGGTTAGTATACAACAACTCCGTCATCGCATTCACGTGGTATAACCGTTTGCAAACTGGAGGGTGCTTACACTGGTGCGCACAAAACTCCGCGTCGCTACTTCCCACCGCAACTAGTTGTGAATCCATCGACGGTCTTGCGTGTGCATCCTGCATCACTGGCCGAGCGGTATATCGACCGGCAACCGGATGATGTCACGGTTGAGAAACTCGGCACAAATTCTGGCCCAGAGGTTTTTTGCTTGGGCCTCTTACGTGATATGCGTGCTGCAACGCGCTGGGAAACTTCACATCAAATTTGTACCGCTAACTCTGACCGCTCACTTAAGAAATTCGGCTGTAAACGAAACGTGGTTACGCCGTTCACAATGGCTGAGGGAAACTCCGGTCAGTAACCGATGATGTGTCATCGGCGTCGGATGAAAATATGCGCACCACATTCAGCTCGAAGCCAGTTCATCGGTAATGTGCAACGCAAAGCTTTCCATCTCAACGGAAAAACTATCCGTCTCACCGGACAGGCACAGGTCTTCTGCTGACATAAAAAATTGGGAAGGTGCTTGAGTGTCTTCAGCGCTGGACTTTAAACACCCACTGCATCGCGTGCTGGCGAGATTTCGGTGCAACGGTAAAAGGTGAACCTGTCCTCTCCCGGGCATTGCTGTAACTAACGCTACGTGAGCGAG